GCCTTACTGTAATCCATGGTAGTTTCCCTTCTCTTTGCTGGTCTTCCTTTTAAATCCTCATTTCTTCTCATGCTTGGGGAGAACTTCCCTTTGCAGCTCAGGGCCTCTTCCTGTAGTGCTGGCTCAGGTTACAAACCAATACAAACCTATACACAGACACCATACATCCATTCCTGAGACAAGGCAGTCTGCTGCAAAACTGAAGTTCTGCCCAGCATGAGAACAGATACAGATTTAAAAGGAAGAGCAGAAAAGAGAAGGGAAACAACCATGGATTACAGTGAGGCGCACATTACAGTATTGTTTTATGTAAAAAAAATCTGAGGGTTTAATGTCACTTTAATGGTCAACGTCTCCATACAACTCTGTGGGAGTTGCCAGGGAATGCTAATATGCAAACAGTGAATTCATTTCATGAAGTTGAACGTGGCTTCATCCATCTTGCCTGCCATGATTTACCATTAGTCCATTTTTTCGATGGACAGCCTCACAGAACAATAATGAGGTAAGGAAGAGGAAAGGGCCAAGCTCTCAGGGAACTCTAAGTGGTATCTCATCATACATAAAGTATTCCCTAATTGCCTGCTTGCATTCATGGCTTTCTGCACCTTAAAGTGATACTAAACTCAGGCTTTAAACCTTAAAAATACATTCAAGTACCTTAAAGGAGAACTATGAGGTGAGTGATTTTCACTCAACCTCATAGTTTGAGCCGACGTGTGACAATGAAACTGTCACACATCGGCTCAATAGATGGGGAAGTGAGCGAACGCATACCGTCGCTCGCTCCCTTCTCAATCATGTCCCTGCAGAGAGCCGTGACTGTCACTCATGGCTCCTGGCAGGGATTCCACCATCCCCTCTCCGATACTCCAGCGCTGACTGGCGGAACGGACGGGGAGGGAGCGGGTACAGCTGGTTTTGCCTCTAGATAGGCAGAGCCAGCTGTCACTCACACAGCTGGGTGGATCTCGACAGTAATATCGGGATCCGTCCCGGCTGCGGCAGTCCCAGTATACAGCGAGCTGTAGCTCGCGATATACGGAGCTTTGGGTCACAGGAGGACGCTAGTATATGTCCTCCCGTGACCCTTAGGAGAACTATGGGGAGAAACACTTACCCCATAGTTCTCCTTTAACTATTAACAAAAATGTATCTTATTTGTGTATCACTTTCTGTAAAGTAGCCACAGCTCTAAACTCACTCTCCTTATAGACTAAAATAGTTTACTAATTTGTACTGAGAATGTAATCCATCACTGGAGTGAGCTTGGAGCGGGGACTACCCTTACGACACACACAAAGACCATGGGGAACAAAAGTAGCCACCCACCAGAAGGAAGGACAGTGTCAGCAATAATTCAGAGATGATTGGAAGATCTACAGCTGAGTGATACACAAATAAGATACATTTTTGTTAGCAGCTAGGGTAATGGATTTTTATGATTTAACTATTGAGTTTAGTGTCACTTTTAAGTGTGATAAAGTGAACACAGAATCACTAAAATACTCTCTTCCATCCTAATAGTAGTTTTTATCGTTCAATCACAATGCAGCAAAATATTGTTTCATAATAAAAAATAATAATCCTGAGGGCATACACTGGAATATATATTTTGATTTATTAAATTGAACGTTATTATTTATTTCATTTAAGAGTATTAATATTTTATCATAAAATGCATTGAGTCTTGCACAGCATACTGGTTTTCCTATTGTATGTTTTACGCAGCACATGCCCCTGTGCTCAGTCATTACTGTGTACAAAAATTTAATTTGATCAGACAGATCACAAGTGATCAGCAATGTGTTTGTTGTGTTTATTGATGTGTGATATTATAAAGATGGCCTCCAGGCAGATAAAAACATGAATTAATACAGTTATTTATTTAGGAGAACTCGCTAAATGTATTTTTAATTGAAATGTGTCTTAGTACCATAATTTGTTATGATCTGTGCCTGCTGTCATCTGTTGCATAGCAGCACTAAACTGGGAGAGAGAGGGTCAGAGTCAGGGGCCAGTCAGATAGGCTGACAAGGCTGACAGACGTTGAGTGCAAAGTGATTCATATATCTGCTTCTGGTGCTTCACTGTTAACTCACAGGCTGGGGGCAGACACATGACCTAGCTGTATTGCATTAAGAAAAGTCAGGTCACCAACCTGGCTGTGCTTTCTGGCAGAACTGTGTATATCTCTGGACCAGATGGACAGAAATACAGATCTGTTGGTAAGTAAAACAGATATATGTGTACTGTGTATTTAGGGGTTTGCCTGAAGTTTACAATTTTTAATAATTCAATTATTTTGAGTAACAATATGTTAAAAACAGTTTGTAATTATATTAGACGGCATATGTTTTTATTTTCTGAAAGCATACCTGTAACAGAAAAAATGGCATATGTAATAACCATGCCATTCATTCTTGATTGTTTTTAAGTGTTTTGCAAGGCTTTCTCTAATTACATTGATCCGTGTCTCTGTTTTGCAGAGCAAAATGAGGAGAAGCAGTCTCTTACAAGTAAAGAGGAAGAGGAGAGACGTATAGCTGAAATGGGCCGTCCTGTTATAGGAGAGCATGTTAAACTTGAAATAATTATTGAAGAATCATATGAGTTCAAGGTATGTCCCATGTATCCTATCTGTATACGATTTGCATATTCTTATATTGTATGATACCATTATACTCAATATCATTATACTGTGCTATTTGTTTTATTAACACACTATTCTTTTTTTATATTTAATAGCTAATACACATAAAACTGATACATATTTATTTCGGTTTTGTCTGCATGTTGACATGTACCCACTACCTAGCTTGACATGCTTCTCGGAGATCTCTGGCAGAGAGAGGTCTGAACCCATGTCCCTGCAATTATGCCATTTATTTGTGATACCATTTATTATGGTTTACAGAGAAACTGGGGGGACAAGCACAATTGCCTTTCTTGGCTTGGCAAAAGTCTCTGAAACTTGTAGGAAGTCTGCAATGTTGTGTTACTAAAGAAGTATAGGCTGTTCACTTAGGAAAGTGAATATTCACTTAGCTTAGTGAATGAGGTGAATCTCTGCTGACTTCAGTTTTCCAATCATGTGCAAGCAAAAATCCTGTTTTTTTTTATTTGCCTTTGAAGTTTTTGTGGATTCTTTGCAAAGTGAATTTTCATCACATTCAATTTCTCTTGGGAAGTGAAAATTCAAAGCGAATATACTATACGCTTTTAGTAAATCAATCCCAATGAGTTATTACCAGCATCCTCCAAATATTAGTTGTGGGTAAACGTAATGACTGAAGAGTTGTGTCAAAGAAAATGTGGCTTCACGAGTGCCATCTAAATGTAAGGGTTTGTACTTACCCCTTTGCTTTTCATTTGGACTGCAGGTTCAATTTCTATATATGGAGGGACTCGAAGTTGGTACCATGCCCTTCCTTCTAAGGCATGCAGACTCTAACAGCACTGGTCTTTTAGAACTTCCTTGTGGTATATATGGAAACACTGATGCTGGAATGGGTGTGATTACAGGAGCCCATTGTATGGTAGTTTGGCCATATCCAGTGGGCATAGAAAATTAAGATGACATGGGCATTTTGAAATCCTTTAGCAATGGTATCAAAACCTACTACTGTGCTTTTCATTGTGCAGTAAAACCTAAGCTTAGCAGTTTAGAATTAAGTCTGATTCAACTTCCTATTAAAACCTAAAATACACTTCTGCAGCACATAGTGTTAGGCTCTAAACCTTTTTAAAGTAGAAATTTATAATGATATTTTGAAAAAGGGGGCCTATGTATCTAGGTTGAGTGAGGCATGTTTTCCATCATGGGTTTATCCCACACACCCACCTGTATTCACTTGCATAAACCTGAGTAATTATAAAACCTGGCAACTAATGGTGCATATGGTGAATACCTATGTATGCAAATTAAACCTATGTCAATATAAAATAAATTAATCTGTAATACATGCGCATTTTCCCATGTTTGGTCTCTTCAAAGGCCCTGCAAGTATAGAAAAATAACTGTGATCTGCTAGAAATGCACACAGCTTCTTGTGGACTGAATGTTGTCAGCCCCGCCCAGTGTCTTTTGCTAAACTACTCAACCACTTTCCACTCTGAAACCTTTGCAGAAGAAGTACTGTATGTACTGTAATACAGAAGAAGTACTGTATGTTACCTGTCTATTACATTCACTAGATATCAACTGCAGAATAGAAAAGAAACTAGTTGGTTCATATGGAGCTGGCCTGTTGTCAAAGTCTCTGTTCTTATATGCACTAGCCCTATGGAAAGAGGAGAGGAGGAGATGGAACTGTGAGTGAGAACTGAAGTAGTTCTTAGCTATGCAGGAGAACCAGGGAGCAGAGACTTGGAGACCAAAGGAGTGGAGTTTTTTTAGGAGGTCAAGCGTGTTAGTAGATTTGGAATAGCATTCCTTCATGTTTACGGTTAATACGGATTGTGTATGTGCAATGTGAATAGGAAGAAATGCATGACTATAAAGAATATAACTTACCTATTCACTTGAACCCTTCTGTTTTTGGAACTATACATTATATGTCTGTGAACTTTAAAAATAAGAAGAGAGAAGGGCTTTCTCTTGGTGAGCTCTGAGTTTATTAAGATAAACATCTGACAAGGGAAAAGGTCAAATAAAAAAGGTGTGAATTATGCTCAAAGTGTAAATAAAGATTCTCTCTCTAAATTGAATGTGTTAGCTGTTTGTCATTTGTGTACATTTTTGCTCATGCAGTGTAGCAAAACTAGTAAAAATTTAATACTGAGTCAGTTTTAGCTTGGACTGAAATTGTGTTGTGACTGGAGCCACTGAGGGAGTCATTTTTTAAGAGGATTACTGAAACTGCATAATCTAAGGGACTGAGAAAAAGCTTTATTTTGTACTAGTCATCCCCATGTAATCAATCTTTGTCATCGGATCATCAGGTCGTGTGTCAGTGAGTTGACCCTTTGTGGAAGGGTTTTTTCAGGCTAAATGAGTTCTGAGTATAATGCTGTCAATGTGGTAACAAAACTATCCCTCCTCTGCACCTTTATTTAATAAATAAGATAATGCCAAACTAGAAATACAAAAAAGCTCTCATGTGCCCCCATGTTTACATCAGAGTAGTTACACAGATCATAATATTTGAGAGATAATTTAGGGAAAATATTTATTTTAACATTTGCAATGCAGTACAGTCTATAGCTAATACATTTCTAGATCAATTTTTTTGGGGACAAATTTAAAATCCCATAAAATAAGTCAAAAACTACAAAGGTGTTGCTAGTGTGATTAGAGAGCAACATACCTGTGTGGGAAGCCCCAGAAAGCTATTGTTCTCTGTCTCTTACTGTGAAAATAGCATTGAAAGGGTCATACCACTTAAGATACAGATAACTCTGATCGGTCATTCACTCGGCTGCCCTCGGCAGCTTTGTGAATATACCCCAACTGAATTCAATAGTGTTTTGGTTTAATGTCTTCTTACAGTTCGGGTTTAAAACTGGCTTAAATTTGCTTTACCATTTCTGAAAACGTACTAAATAATTGTATGTGATTAAAAAAGAATGTAAAATCCTTGAATTCCTCACAGAACCTATTTGAATTAATTTAACATTTTATTTTTGTTTAATTTATTTTTTACTTTTGAGTATAATTCTCAGATCCAGATTTATAAAAAGGGCCCATTAATTTAATCATTGCTGTATGCCCACAACTTGCTAGAAAGAATAATGCTAGATATTTCCTCAGAGAATTCAAGGTTATCTTCTGCGGATTCTTTATTGATGCTTTGTTCAACATGCCAGTATTTATGGGCTGCAGTACATTGTAGACAAATGCACTTGGTTATAAAAGATGGTGCACTCAGTTGTTGCTGTGGTACAGCTTCCGTTTTTTTTGCTAAACATGGAGTGCTTAACACACACACATTAACAGTAGCTGTACTTATTCTACAGAATCTAGATGGCAGATAATGCTAGTGATATTTTTAATCTAATACAAAGAAAATTAATTGGCCTTGTATGTTTATTTTGCATTTGGTTTGCAAATGTATACAATTGAGAGCGAGTGAACAATGGAAATCAGCTGACTTGAATAAAAATACCCGCCTACCAAACATTTTGCACAGACCCTGGGAAATAATGGGTATAAGAATGATTTTTAACTGACCCAGAAAATCTTTGTTTATTTCAAGTACTCAATCAAGGGAATAAAAAAATCTTTGTTTATTTCAAGTACCTAATCAATGGAATAAAAAAAATCCTGAATTTGACTTCATTGTTAAAGCTAAACTCTGGACAATATTTTTGGGCCGAAATGTAATCTCATTAGTGCAAATGTCATTTCTTACTTTTCAGCAATGTATTGATCTTTTTCCATAAAGGTCACAGAGAAATTCCCACTTAAAGAAGTCAGAAGAAGGGCTTTGTCCCCTTGATTTCCGTTTAGTAAGACTGGTATCCACTATGGCCACTATTCCCCCAGCCACCTGTCTTGTAACACCCTTTCAGTAGTTTCCTTGTCAGTGAGTGATAACTTCACAAATGACTTGCAGGGGTAGTTTTAGTTCACTGTTGAGTGAGGTTATTGCTGCTCAAAGCTTTGTTTAAAAGGTTATTCCTCATGGAGCATCAGCCCATTCCTTTTCATTCAAATTCTTCTTCCCTCTGAATTCAGGTTTTGTGGGGGGCAGGGGGGATATACCCTAGTCTGAGGATGCTTCGTTGGATTGAGGCTAGCCAGATGTTTCTTAAGAACATTGTTTCTAGATTAAGGTTAGGTATGGTTGCAGAGTTCTCCTGTCAGACCCAGACACCTACAAGTGCATAAGTCCCTGTTTATCCTTATGATCTTCTAGTGTGTCATGTACCAGTTTGGGTTTATGTATGCTTTCATCCCTGCCTACCTATTGTGCAGGTGTTATACAACCTTCTCCCTCTCTCAGTCAGCAGATCTTGTGGAGGGTACCCTTGTTTTTTTTTTATACCATTCCCAAAGGTATTTTTGTTATCTGTTGGGATATCATGCTGTGAAGGCTCTTCTATCTTGTTGACATCTTCCTGCAGGGTTACCTGGCTGAAATGCCAACCTCTGCTCTTATCATGACTCCTCCTTTCCTTGAATCCTAATGTATAGGGATCTGAGGCTTAAGCCTTATCTTACAGACTGGATGGTCTTTTATTTTGGATTTGTTTTTTGTTTGTACAAATTACCCTTTGGGGATCTGTTATTGAAAACCACCTACTTAGGTCTCCAAGATCAGACCATTTTGTGCATTTTAAAGTGGAACTAATGTTGGCTTAACAACAAGTGCTAACAGACATTAGATGTTTCTCCCCTGCCTGTCAACGCTTTTTTTCTGGAAATGTACACTTGGCAACACATGCACAACTCATGAGTTAGTCATCCCAGCCAGTCAGTGAAGATGGCCAAAGACTTCAGATTCAAAAGGAGAGCAGGTGAAGGATGGAAAAGCCACAGAGAGGAGCATGGACATTGCAGCAGTGTATGGGGTGGTTTTCATACACATTTGTGCATTATAGCAAAGAGCTCAAGGGGGCCCTAAACTGTTCATTTAATCTGGTGGTTCAGTTCCACTTCAAAGCGACCCTGTCAGCACAAGGTCACTTTTATGTTAAAGCATACCTCTAATAGAATAGTCACTATACTCTGTTGATATGCCGCCTCTTCATATTCAGCCGACCAGATGGATTGAATACCTGTTTCCCCTGCCGCACACGGTTCCTCTTGCCAGCTATATGTCCTGTAGTGATGAATGAACCAGTAAAAGAACTTACAGCTTGCAAAGAGGGAGCAGGTATTTGATACACTGGATGTGTGAAATACATGCACTGTCAGGGAAAAGCGAAGAGTAGATATATCAACAGATGGGCTGCTGAAAAGGTAAGTATCATATCTATTACAGGTTTGTTTAACATATCAAAAGACCCTGTGCTGACAGCGTCACTTTTAAGTGTTGTGATCTTTGGAAGATTGGGAAGTTTAAAATGTTTTATTAGAGCAATTGAAAAAAAACACTTTACCGTGAGCTTGTCACTATAGCTGTTAATGGTGAGATCTGAAGCTCCCATCCATTGTCGGATATTGCCATTCCCTACCTTGTGGGACAGTGCTAGGTCCAGGGTAAAGCATGCCTGTATCATCATAGACATTGACAGGCCTGTTCTAGAAAATGTGAACAGTGGAAGCCACAGGCAAAAAAATTTTGGGTTGGCAGTGCCAATTTCACTTCTAGGACTTAGATATATATATTCACTTCTAGGATATTATATATCATAAAGGTGGTTACTATGCTGCCTAAACAATGGCATGCGTAATTGAAAGAAAAGTAGGAGACAGCTGTAATTGAATTGTTGTGCTAGCGGATGCCAGTTTTACAATCTCCTGTGTATTATTTGTGTATATGATACAAAAGAAGGCCCTTTACACATACAGGACTGATCCCTGATCCTAATCTTTTCTAAAGTCACAAAAGAAGTTAAAAAATCAATTGAGTAATAATTGCACTATAACCTTGATAGTTTACCCTGTACCTTTCTGCCACAAAAGGCAGTAAGGAGAAGATAGACAGAGCCTTAATTTTTGCTGTGCAAACTTGTATTGCTTTATATAGAAATTCTGAAAAATATTATTGATTAGACTGAGTGTTTTCCTAATGGAAATATGAGGCAGATAGATGTGATACTGATCTTTAAATACACGGTACCTGTAAATAAGTGCTCTATCAGAAATATATCCCCTATGAAACCTTGTTAAGTGGTGCAAAAGAAAAGTGTTTTTGACTGTTTGAGCGGATTTGTTATTTTGCACTATTGAAGAAAATTGTACCACTTATTGCCCTATTATTAAAGGTGATGCTTAGTACTTCTTTTAAATATATTTTGTTTGGATGCTCTTAGCTATAAGGTAAATTATGTACCATATTTAGTATAATAACAAATATGGTTTAAATAGAAGTTTCGACACAGGGAGCCCCAGGCAGACACTCCTCAGAGTTTTGCAGGCTTAAAATTGCCACTTATCAGGGATCCCCCTCACTTCTTAGCCTCTGGCTTCTGACTTAATGTCGAGCCTTTGTTTTCCTATTAGGGATCTCATCAGTAGAGGAATGAAGTAGAAACAGTGCTTGGGAAAGTCTAGATGCCACTGAATACATTTAAATGTTAAAATTAGGACAATTCAACACTTTTTTCTGTGTATTTAATTGTTATTTCTTTAGATACTGGTATGTATAGTGAACGAGGGACAGGTGGTTGGCAGATATACCCCTTCCTAAGCTGACAGTCTCCTCTTGGCACTGTCAGTACTGAAGAGCCCTGTCCTCCTTCCTCTGGGAACCCACTGCTGCTACTCCCAGTGGTGAGGGCCATGCTGTTTGGTATCAGCATGATAGAAGGCCAAATGCTTGTTACCCCCGTCAGCTATCATGTCTGGTGCACTGATCTTGAGCCATTGGACAAGAGGGAGAGTATTTTAAAAAAAATATTTTGTTTAACTAAAATTACATTATTTCCCAAGTGTTGTATTAGTTAAAAAAAAGTTTTAGCACTTTGGAGAGCCCCAGCCAACACATTCACCAGCAGCTTTAACTTTAACGACTTGCCCAAGAAATTAAGGGCCTGTGTCAACGGACTTTGAGCTTGTGTCAATGACATCATACACAGCATACTCAAAACAGATTTCATTTTGTGTTCCAGTACTATCTTACTGCAAAACAATGCAAAGTAAATACTTTATTGCACAAAAAATATATAGATTTTTGTTTAAAAGTGAATAATTGCTTGCATGTGTCATTGACATGCCTTTGTTTAAACTAAGGCTGTTAAATCTTTCATGAAACCGTATAAATAATTAAACATTTTATGTGGCTTGTATACTGGAAGCTTTGCCATCCATTTTAATTTTAATTATCTGAATTCACATGACTACCCCTGCTAGTGTACGGCAACATTTTTAACATGTAAGCATTTTCCTGTTCAGTAAAATATACACAGTACAGAGTACAGAGCAGTACAGAGGTCAGTAATATAACGCACAGTACAGAGGTCAGTAATGTAATGCACAGTGCAGAGGTCAGCAGTACAGAGTTCAGTAATGTAATGAACAGTGCAGAGGTCAGGGGTTTAAGGCAGAAATAACAGGAACTTACAGTGCACATGGTTGATGTGATTCCGGTGCCTTCTTCCTCTCCTAGGGGTGGTGGGGGGGACAGCAGCGCATCCTCCATGTCCGACGTGAAGCCTCCCTTCAGGTCCCACGCTGTCCTGCCAGCCGGCTAATTGTATCTCTGCAGTCTTCCTCACAGCCTATGGCAGCTAATGTGGGCAGAGGAAGACTGCAGGTGGCCAGAGGAGCCGACATGACGGGCAGACAGCTGAACTGATTCTCCCTCTCTTGTCTTCACCTGATCGGCCACTGCAGCTACAGAGCGGCCGAGGAGGAGAAGAGAAGGGGGAAGAACTGACCATGTGATCGCTGCTGCTAAAGCGGTGGCACTTTCCCCCCTGGTCCTGCCGACGGCGCCCCCAAGATGAATTTCCACTCGTCCCCAGGCAATTTTCACTCGCCAATTGCGAGGGGGCAAGTGGAAATTTTGAGCCCTTACTAACATGGACCTTTTTTTATTCATTTCATAGGAATTGTCTTTTATACATTGAAATGATTCACTCTCATAACTGTATCACTTAATTTGCAACAACCTCAGTTTATTTGCATGTCTTTGGAATCATAACATGTAGAGTTATTGAAATATTAGAATGTTTATAAAGCATAGTAGTATTGTAAGAATAACTTTCAAAGATCTGTTCTGCAATGGTCCCTAAGGTACAACAGCTGCATCTGCCAAATGGTCACAATTTTCTGCATAGTTTTGGTATTAAATGTAAGCGAACAGTTCTAAAGAGTCCCTTGCTTCTCTTCTTTCTCTGCAGAGCACTGTGGACAAACTTATTAAAAAGACAAATCTCGCTCTTGTGGTTGGAACGAACAGCTGGAGAGAGCAATTCATTGAAGCGATCACAGTTAGCGCTGGTAAGTTTGTATGTTTGCATGCGGTCTGCTGTATTACAAAGCCAGCCCTGAGCCTTATAAGTAGTTATAAGTAGTCTATAAGCTGAAGATAGAGAATAACTAATCTTTATAATGTCTTCTTAAACATGCAAATGCAGCAATTTAACAAAATCATTACAGGACTCTCAGGCTTTCCTACTTGAACATATCTTTACTGAGACCTAGATTACTGTAAAGCAATAGACACATGGCATACTAATTTATTTCTATGGCTGTTGTTATGCCTTAGTGCAAATGGCAATCTGGCAAGACCTAGTCCCCTGTGCTAATGGCAATGTGGCAGTTCCTTGTGCTAATGCATAAATTGTCGGTGCTATATACGGTAAATAACTGTAATAAATGGCAAGCTGGCAAAGTCGTGGCTCTACAAGTAGTCATAGGACAAGGCTTGATATGCCTCCAGGGAACATGTGGGTATTAAGTCTCAGTAGGGACTGAGCTGTGTCATTCAATATTTAAAATTACAAATCTCACCAGTGCTTATTTTAATCATTGATATTAAACATGAACCATACTGGCATTTACCTCACTTATATAAGCAATGCCTTATTTTCTTTATGAGAACATTAAACTACAATTTTGAGATTGTTGGATTCATGCTGTACAGTTTGTACTGTTTGTTCCTTTCTTATTTTATGATGTGGGAGATTTATGGAATAAGACTTCAGCTATCATTCACAGCACAGAATTGTGACTGTAAATCAGTCATCACCTAGGATCGAGTCCTTGGCATGGCAGCTGAAACTTTTTTGTCTTTTTATTGTTGTAGTTTACTAGACTTTCCAGTCATTTACTGTTTCACTACCAAGGGGCTTTAAAGGCCAAAGACCCATTAGAGCACATATGTTAGCGTTAAATAGAAAAAACACCTCTCCACAAGCCTGCCCCATGGTTAAAGTAAACCCAGAGACTTCAGGAAGAGTTAAGGTGTTTGCAGGGAGGCAACATTAGAGGTTTAATATATGTAATTTTATACTTTGAACTGAAGCATGAGCATAGCATGGGGAATACTGACAGGCTTGAAGTTCACGTTTCCTTTTTTTTTTGGGGAAAAGCTGTGTGACGCATGGGTAGGGATCCCTGGAACAGGGAGGAAGTTAATTATTTAACATGCCAGGTTGTGCTCTGGGGGGTTGGGGAAATATAAAAGGGCAAGTTCACTAAAAGAATACCCGAGCCCGCAGCTCATTGGCTGCCGGCTCCATCGATACGAAAATTTTCCTGCCAGCTCCTTTGATCAGCTGATCGAGGGATGCCGACCAAAAGGGTGCCGACAGCGGTTCCTCAAAAACTGAAATTCCTACAGTGTAAGGGCACCTTAAGGGGGCAATTGATTCAAATGTAGCCTTTCTTACAGTCATCCCTTGACCTATTCTGAACCACTGATTTGAATATCAAACTGAACCACTGATTTGAATATCAAACCCCAATTGCATTGCGTTAATATCCATTATTGCTGACCTTTTCCAACCTCAATCATTGTTGTTCCCGTGTGGGGGCATAACAATGACAAGTCTGTTGTCCTACAGATAGTGGAATATAGGGCATATATATGTAGGCTATTGACTGCCTAATACATTAACTGCTTGTTAAACTCTCCATAAATCTTTTATCCTTCCTATATTAATATCTTGCTATTTACATTAGGTGAACATTATAGCCAAATATTGTAGCATTGCTTTTCAAATGAAATGAGGTTAGGATTAAATTAAATAGATGTAGCATTTTGGTTGGTCAAATATTAGTATTTCCAAATGAGTACCCTGGGACAATAAGCAGATGATATGTATAGATTACCACTATTAATTAGTACCATATGGTCCATGTATCAAAGAAGCAGTTTGGTGTTACCAGGATCACATCCCTGCTTTAAAAAAAAAAAAAAGCACCACACATTTATAAAGCACAGTGGTTTGCTTTACAAATGTGCATTGCCTTCCACTTGCCTTGGGTCTCTGAAGCAAGCAAATGCAATAAAAATGAATGATGAACAAAAAAAGCGAGAGAACCCGGTCACATCACTATCAAAATCATGTGACCAGCCTCTCCTTCAGTCATGAAGTTCTCTCTGGTGCGTTGAGCAGAAGGAACTCTGTGAGGCACACTGCAGGCTCCACACCATGGACTAACCTAGCGGGGTACAGTGGATGAGCCCCTATGTGTCTTGAGCACAAATGAACACAGCTGTAGTTAAATAGAGATAAGAGATAATATTTGGTTAATATGCGGAAGCAGTGGCGTAACAATCACCATAGCGACCCAAGTGGCCGCTATGGGGCCCGGGGCACAGTAGGGCCCGGCCAGATGCCATGCGGGCCACCTGGGTCGCTATGGGATCCTCTGCTGGTAGCTTTCACTGGCGGCTGAAGACGAACACGCCGCTGTTCAGATAACTTACAGTAATCTGTGCAGCAGCGCGTTCCTCTCCACAGAGTCAATGAGAGCCAGCAGCGGCAGTGGAGGAGGAGGCGGGGCCCATGGTCGGCAGCAGAGGAGGAGGCGGGGCCTGGTGACGAAAAAGGAGATGGGTCCGGAGAAGGAGGCGGGGCCCATCAGCGACCGTGGAGGAAGAGGAGGAGGACAGGTAAACAGTGCAACCAGCCCACCTGAGGGTGACTCTGCATAGCCGACCATAGAGATTTCTAGTTACGTCCCTGTGCAGAAGCATCATTTTATTTATGGATATTTGAAATAGGGAGGTATACTGTGTGTATATATTGCGCAGAACTAGACTTGTAGAACTTTTTTTAGGATTTTTGCTATAACTAGTGCCCCCAGTTGTCATCATCAACACTTTGGAAAGTCTCTATGCAGGCATTCTCCAACTGTTCTCTTTCTATAGAAATGAAAGTGTGAACTTGTTACCACACTGCATTTACTCTTTGACCTAGTTGCCTGGATGCCTTCTATCTTCTTTTTTCAATACTCTGACACAGAACAAGTATTCAGATAAGGATTTCTGACTTCCTTGATCTGCATATTTAGTACAGATTGGTATTAGTAATCAGCATAATGGCCAAGCAATTAGAATTTTCAGAGATTAAACTGGTAGCCTGTGTATTTCTACCATGGCAGGCTGTTTTTTTTTTTTAAAGGTTGCACTGCAATACCATTTTGTATCACCAGGTGGCAGTGCAAATGAAATCTGGAATACCATTCTGGAGAGAAAATATAGAACAGTTAGAAGATTTCTTGTTTGCTATTTCCTTTGTGACATGAATTTTTTTTAACCAAAACAAAGGTTTAACAGGAGTAAATAGGATTTCATTGCTGATGCAATGCAGTAGATAATTGTACTCATGTAGGCACACTCATGTACGTTCCCTAAGCTCCCCTCTACATAATATATGCAGTTTTATAGAGAAAGAGCAATGTAGAGTGTTTGTATTCACATAATAAAAATGAAAAGCAATCTCCTAGCTTGTGTCCTGTCCTTGGGTAGCACTGAATGTAACCAGAGAAGACAAGGAATAAAGAAAGCACAATACGTATTATATAGACATACAGGCTGCAAACACTAACATACTGTATATTGCATAATAACGTGCCTGTGTGGGGGCACAAACAATAAACTCTACAAAACACCTTTAATACATGAGACTTTATGGCTAATTAGATATTCATCCTGTCCATCATTAAAGCTGAACTCCAGGCACAAAAACTTTCTTTCAAAATATATTCTTCAATAACCACAACGTGTTTAGATCCACTTTGTGTGCACCTAATGTCTTGGCAAACCTATATACCGTGTTTCCCCAAAAATAAGATACTGTCTTATTTTTTTTTTTGGCTTCAAAAAACACACTAGGTCTTATTTTCGGGGTATGTCTTTTTTTTTTTTAAATGTACAACAATCTAAAATTAATGCAAATACAAATTAAATAATCCAAAATGGCAACGTTAAAAATAGGGTGATCAGGGGTGCCATACCTTTCCAAGAGCAATTTGGTAACCAATCACTGGCCAGAATGAGCGAAGCGCACGTTCATTATCATTCCTCACAGGTGGAGTGCATTTGGTATCACTCCGCCTGTGACAGGATCCGGCGCTATAGAGGAGGCATCGGCTTATGCGGCTCTGCTCCCTCTGCTGCTGCCTTGCTTCCTCTAGCGCTGGCTTCGTTGGCACCTCTGATTCTTTCCCGCGGCTCTTCAAGTTCCCCCTTATGCCACCACCGGCCCTGGGAAAGGTCACAACTAAGTCTTATTTTTGGGGTGGGTCTTATATTTTAGCAATTCCCAAAAATAGTACTAGGTCTTATTATCGGGGTAGGTCTTATTTTCGGGGGAAACAGGGTATCTTTTAAAAGTGGTGCTGTCATCATCAATGTGCTTTTCATAGCCCGTGCAGAGAGCAGAGCAGGCCCCGCCCACTGCATGCTGCAGTAAAATACAAGAGGAGGGTGGATACAAGACCAGTCACCCTGCACAAGGAGAGAGAGCATCAGTGACCGGTCTTTATTACAGGAAGGTCTTGCATAGAGACAAAGTGCCTTAGTTGCTTCACTGCACAGATCTGGAAGACATAAAGGAAACAAAGAGTCATGAAAAATATGCATGCCTTTTATATTCAGACAATATTTATTTAGCCTGAAGTTGAATTTTAACAGAAATCTGCACTAAGGAAAATACAGAGGATGCCTCTGCTGACCTTGTCATCTGAAAATGTTAATTCCCTGACTGTTCTGTGGAGCTAATGGCTTTTAGTATTTTCTGAGTTGCTTACCTGAAACAAGTGCGCTCATGAGGAAATCTGAGTTCACTTTTACTGATTTTCCTGCACACTTAATCCTGGTCAATAACTTCAAGTCAGAAGATCAGAACCACAACCGGGCACCTACCATTGTTAGGAGGTTAATAATGGCAAATAAACACTGCCTGGCCCCCAAAAAAAAAAAAAAGTAAACACATACTGTATATTTTATTGGACCGCCATTAGCTTTGATTACGGCACACTTTCTC